CTTGCCCACTCTGAATTGCCCATGTTGATCCTGCATAAGAAAAAAGAGTGCTAGGAGCGGATTTATTTGGACTATAAACTATCATTGATGAAGTCAGAAAGCGGCAGCAGATAGTTGAAACAAGGAAGATATAAACGACCCTCTTAGGATTATTGTGCTACAAATACAGGCTTTCTTTCCTGGCTCTTGAAATAAATAAGTAATCAACATTGTCCAATTACAGTATGTAGGCATGAGGTCTTAAGTGTCCCATTATGCTGTCCAGTTACAAGCAGGATGCTTACACTGACCCAGTAATGCTTAAATTAGGCCGGTGGTAACCAATCTTGTTCAAATATGGTTTTATAGTTTTTGTTGAAAGGTGCCTGTTAGGGTTTAATTACACAATTCTGTGATGATTCAGCAAGCCTGAGCCCAGTAAGGAAATTGTTTCAAAGTTAAATAAAATTTCTAGTCCACAGCAAGGCTGTGCTCTAAGAAAAATCGAAGGGAGCTTAGTGCTCTGAAACCGTGAAATCCAGGGTGCTCAGCCTATGTTTATTTATGATAAAAGTAAGATTCCTGAGTCACCCAAGAGCAAAAGTAAGGTGCCAGGGGCCACCGGGCACTGCTAGAGTCACAGCCCTGTACAGGTACATCCTTCTCAAAACTGGCTGGTCTGCAGCTCAACGAGCCGCCTCCTTTCAAATCTTGGCCGTCTCTTTTCAGTCAAAAAATATAATTTTCAACGGCAACAAATGAAAAAGAAAACAAGAAAAAAAATTAAACGCAAACAAAGAAAGTTAAAGAAAAGCCGCCAGAGTGCATTTAGCTAGCGTGATCCCCTTAAATTTTATATAATAATGACACAACTTTTTTCCCTTTTAACACACCCAAAATGCACCAAATTGCATCTCTAAGGATCTAAATTTCCAAAATTTTACTGGGAGCATGCCCCCGGATCCTCCTACAGGCTCAAGCCCACAGGGCACTCGAAGGGGTGCTGTTGGCACCTCAACCTACTCCTCCAATTCATTAACCTACTCCTTGAAATCTTTTTGAGAAGGCTGCAGGTAGCTTGGAATATAGTGCAATTTTAAGGTTCAACTGATTTTTAGTTTTGCTTCAATAGTGTCAAACTTGGCCAATTTGATTTGTGTGAAACTCACTAAAAATAAAGCACATCCTGCTCATGCTAAATCAGCACATGAGATTATATTCTTAAAGTTGCCTTAACCATTATAAAATAGTATAGAAATTACTTACTAGTTTAATTTTACATAGATGTGTGCTAAAATAAGTGATCCATTCTTCAGTTGCGGAATTGAAAATTGCACAGTAAACTGTAAACAAGCCTCAAGTTTCAAGGTGAGTTTCAAGGGCTCATAGCTTCTTTGCCTTACCTGTTAGTTTACAATCATTTTTTCATTTTTTTTTTTTTCAGAATGAAGACAGCTGGCTTCACTGGACCATGTGTCGATCAGGAAGGCAAGGTGCATCCACTCTCAATAAAGCTTTGCAAAGAAAGGTGGAGTGGCCAAGTCAAACAAACACCTCATTTCACTCATCACAGGTAGCCTTAAAAACAAATACATGTACACCTGTACCATGTTTATTTGATTAAGCTCCCCAGGTGGCTTCTTAAAGTTTTAGCCCTTACGGGTGGGTGCTTGTTTGAGGTGGGCACTTATTGGGGGCTGGTGACTGGATGCTTATTAAATTTTCACCATTTTCAGTCAGTACCTGTTAGTACTTTTAAGTACAGGTTAGTGTAATAATAGTAGGTTTACTTTGCTACAAAACAATGAATAGTAACAAGATGGGAAAATGGCTCAAGGATAGATATATACAGTGAATTGAAAGATTGTAAGCCAGTAAAGAAATTATCATTAGTTACTTATTTTGTGCACTTCAGTTTTTTGTGGAGGGGATGGGTGAGGGGGGATGGATGAGGGGTGAGGGGGGATGGGTGAGGGGTGGAAGCTTATTCAAGGTGGGCACTTATGGTCGGGTGCTCAATTAAATGAATACAGTATACAATATATAAAGATAGAATGATATGTTTTATTTTTAAATCACCAAGGTGGGCATATCTCTGTCTTCTGATATTACTTTGGGCTCATAATTTACAAAACTCATCGTGACGGGACTAAAGATTCTTTTCTCTGAGGTTACTCTTTGGAAAAAGAGATAGTTGATTTGTATTTAATTATTTTCAAATTTCTCCATAGTTGAACTTTTTCCTTCTTGTGTAGAATCACAATTTTTAAGTGGAACATGATTATGATTTGCTGGCAATGCTTGTTACGATGAATTGAGAGTCAACATTTTAAGTGAGAAAAATTCAAAAAAATTTTTTTTTAAAAATTCATATGATATTTAATACCAAGTTAAACTCTTTGACTATTGCATTATTAAATTCAAAGCTTTAACATCCCCCACTCCAGGCAACATCTCCAGGCATTTTAAGTTTGGAAGATTAGTCTGTTTACCGGTAAATTCCTGCCCCCAAAATTTTATTCAAATGCCCTGCCCAAGTGCTGGATTTGATGGTCAACATTTCTGTAAAAGGCAAATTCAGCAACTGTGACTTTCTACTCATTGACCAACAATTGATTAGATAATTCAAGCTTTTAAACCTGGATCTTGTAGACTTTTCCATCTGAGCTATCCACTGGTTGAAGTGAACTCTTTACCTTTGAACACCTTAAGGGGTTTCTACATGTATCATCTTATGACTAATCACTTACCTGTTCTGGTAGGAACCCATGGTACACACCACAATAGAAGATGCATTTGACACAGTACTGCAGTACATGAACGCAGCAAGCAGGCAGTGTAAGGTAAGTTGTTGGAAGCCGTGCTTGTTACAAAAAAACAACGCTTCCTATATTTCTCTTTGCTATGAAGAACATAGTCTCAAGGCTTTAGTTTTGCACCACAAGTCACATACTTCACATAGAGGTGTTTAAAACATTCTTATGCTTGCAATATGCATGTTATCCCAGCAATGCATCTGACAACCTTGCAGCTTCAGGGTGCATGTTTCTCCACAATGTAGTAAGGTTTGAGACGAGTGAGGGAGAGGTTTGCCAGGAGTTTGGTACTCATTATCAGTATTAGACTAATTACAGACTTCTTGCGAGCTCATGTTGGCCAAGGCCTCGTCCTTTAAAGTTTCCGCAGGCAAAGGAACATTTATTCTGAAGCTCATGATTGAAAGACAATTATCTAGTCAATATAACACACTTTTTCAGGTTCTATAATGTGGGATGTTGGGAGCAGAGTCGGTAAGCTTGGGAATCACTTTGGCTCGTGATTGTTAAGCTTTTATGTGTTCTCCCAGCATCCCGTGCGGCTACACTACGTTATAGAGCCCAGAAAAGTGCGTTCTGTTGCTTTTATGTAGTTGTGTAGTTGGATGCGGGCCCTATTTAAACAATAGAGTGTTTCTGTCGAGGAACTATTGGCTGATAGTTACCCCATGGAAATTTGATGTTCTTAAAGCAAATATGCTACACACATACATACATACATACATACATACATACATTTACATACGTACATACGTACATACATACGTACATACATCATACATACATCATACATACATACATACATACATCATACATACGTACATACATACATACATACATACATACATACATACATACATACATACATACATACATACTTACATAAATACATACATACATTTATTTGGTAAAGCAGGTTAAGTTACATACAATGGCAGCAAAAAGCTGATGTGGACCTGCCTAAAATAAATTAAATAAAAGTAGGATGATGTAAAATGTATAAATAAAAACAAGTTAAAAATATACATAGTTATCGTGTTTATTAGCTATCGTAGGAGCCAGTTTCAAGAACATCAAATTTCCAAGAGGCAACTAGCAGACCGATAATTCCGAGACATAAACACTCTATTGTCTTTATTGTTCACCACTAAATTTTCTTCCGCCTGCGTGCCAGTTAAAAAACAGTCGAAACCCACTAAACGCAGATCAATCGAATATATATTCATGCGTACAGCCTGTCACAAATGTCAATAATTCGCAACCGTACATTGGCTAAATAATACGTTAAACCTGTCAGAATTGAAACGTCAATTTTTCTTATCTGCCTAACTTCGCGGCCGTCAAACCATTCAAAATTTMTTCACGGATGAGTACTATCCATCCGGGTATTTTCCGCGGACGGGCAAAATGGGCTGTTAGTGTCTCTCCACGGATGAACACCATCGCGTCACATGGTCAATTTAAACCAATAAGAATCGGAGAAGATTTAGTGGGGAAATATAAAACCTGATAAAGCATCCGCTTGGATACTGAACCGAACAATCAAATGATGTGTACTATGTTCATTATGGTATTAAGCCAAATGATCTTTACAACAACGTTTAAGTTAACTGAAGTATTTCTCAGGTGTGGGCTAAGATTACTCTTCTACTCTCTTAATAGGTTTATTTATTTGTTTTCTTAAGCGGTATTTCCGCTGTAGATCAACGGAGGAGTGCAATGCTCAGGATGTAAATCACTGTAACAGATTTCATCAACCAGGTTATAATCTGGTTACACGACCACACCCCGTAAGTTGTATATTGTAGTTCTCATGTCTATGGATGTTCAGTTAAGAGGATGGCAAAGGGTTTAAAAGCGACACATGATTAAGCCCAAAATTAATACGTGACGTTTCAATTTTACGGAAGGGCAAGCTAAGGTGAGATTTGAAGTAGTCCTCTAAAATTCGTGACGCGTGAAATACTGTTTAAAGAACACGTGACGCGTGAATTTTCTAAAATTTTGGCGTAAAATGGGAATCATTGTGTTGTGTTATTGGGCGAGACAGTTTACTCCCACAGTGCCTCTCCATCCAGGAGAAGTTGTTTATCATCCAACACGCCAAATTGTTATTTCAGTGCGGGCGAATTTCGCGGATATTTTTTTACGGAGAGTGCGTGACAGAAGTATGCGAAGCGGAACGGAATTGGCGCGTTGTCGTGTTGCTGTTTCTTTTTTTCTTCAATAAATGAAGAAATTTCCTGGTCGTCTAGCTGTTTTTCTTCGTTCGATTCATCTACTAAACTTGTATCTATATTTGCCAGCCATTCTGACTCTGTCGTCGGAAATATGATTCAAATTGTCCGCCATTTTTTTTTCGTAATTACAATCCAATTCTTCGCTTGCTCGACACGAGAAAACCTTTTTAACCGGTACTTTAGAGCACAAATACCGCGTGATATTTCTACTCGTCTATGGCGTTATTTGTACTCTGCAGAGTGTAGTTGGATAATAAATATATCTTATTAGACGTTTTGTTGTGTAGTATCGCTGAGTATTTTTACGAGTTGTGCCGTATTTTGATGAGATTAGATCACTGCTGATCCAACGTACAAGAGTAGGATTATCGTCCACGGTTGCTTGCTGAACGTTTCATAGTTAATTCAATGGCGTTAAAAAAAAAAATAAGAAAAAAGTCTTTTTATAGGATTACACAATTACTGGTGAACCAGTAGTTTCCATTGTGGTCCTTGCAAACAAATGAAACAAATGGTCTAAATTGAACATAACATCATTAAGAACGTCATTAAGAACCCCAACCGGCCGGAGGTAAACCAGTTGGCTATTTACAAGCGTGGCCAAGGATCTGAACTCGGGGCTACCGTGAAACAAATCCAGTGGTCAGGGTGGGACTCGAACCGGGGAGCGGCGGATTACGAGTCCGACACTCTAACCACTCAGCCACACTGCCTCCGTTTTATACTTTGAGTGAAGTAACTGACTGCGGAACACTTACTGTTTCGTTAAATTTGTACCAGAGCATTTTTACATAACATTTCCTATATGAATCGTGTTAGTGGACCCTCGATATTCATGTCTTTTCTAAATTTTCTTTGTCTCAAGCTCCAGCGAATGGAAGACGTCCAGGTAGAAGTGGCGCCTGGCAGCTATGCAGTCTCCGCTGGTCGTTACGGTGCACCCAGGCAACACACCCATATTGTCCGTTTGGAGCCTGGACAGACAGTCGATCTTGGGTTCTCGTTATAGTCCTAGAGTGGGTCACACGATGTACTTTATTGACTTTTTTATTCACAAGATTGTTACTACATTTTCGTACGCGATTTTGATAGCTCTTTTACAACTTACATGCATAAGTAAATGTACTCTTTAAATGCGGAGAAGATGGAATTACAAGGTAACATAGCGTAGGAAAAGATGGCCAAGGAAACTTCTAGTGTGAAAAGAGCTGTCTTCACGATAGTCCAAAACATAGAAATCGATTTTTAAAATTTATTTATAGCTAAAATTATGACAACGTAGTATATTGTAAGGAACAAAAAATGAACGCTCGTCTGCCTTGTACAAATAAGTATTCTTCTAAATAAGAGATATTGTAGAGTAGACCTTAACTAAAGTATCGAAGAACCTGATGTGAAGTCATTTTCTGCCGAGATAACGTATCAAACAAGTCTAGGCTAGGATGATTAACTTTTGTCGACATTTGTTTGTTTGTTTGTTTGTTTTCGTTCGTTTCAATTTTACTAATAAGTGTTTGTCGGCCATCGTGGAAAGCACCGCCACTCTCCAAGCTTTGTAGGGTCTTCTTATTATTCTACCCGCTTTTCCCACTGAACCTGGACTTTTTTGCGTATGACCTAGCCATGGCTTTGGTATCAAAAAAATTATCCTTAAAAAACTCTTCCTAAATGGGTCGCCAATTTATTTTTATACCATAATCCCGTGCATTTTGGTTCATAAAGCCGAAAGCTAGAGTTGTCAATGTTTTTCCATTTTCCCGTATCCCTCTCCGCAGTAAGATTGTATTGGTCCCTTCATTAACTCCTTGAAGTGAAGTCCTTTCAAGCACACAGTCTTTGATTTGTTACCCACCACGATTTGAAGATCTTTAAATATTTTTTTATTATGTAGTTATTTTTTTGCTTGTTTGTTTGTTTGTTTGAGTAGTTCATTTTATAGGTGCAATTAAGTGATGATTGAAAATAGTTTTTATTCAATAAACTCAAATGACCGTCTACGATACTTCTGTATCTTTGAAAGGGGTCAGTTAGGCTTGACGTTTACGTCCCTCGTTTCGCCTACCCCCTTCCCTTAAAGAGAGATAGTGCCACAGAAATACCAAGTGAGCGGTAACCAGTTCTTTCGCCTAAGAGTCGTTTCGCAAACGAAGGTTCGCTAACGTCTTAGGTCGTTTCCTCAACACCTCATGTAGTTCGCCAACGTCTCTTAATGATTCCACCGGCAGAACTTGATTGACTTCTAATCGACCGAAACGTCGTAGGGGAATTGGGTCTTTTCGATACATATACATATGAGAGTCGATTCGATGCATCGACAAAGTCAATTAGATACACGTAGAAAGTCCATTTGATGCAACTCAAGTAATTTCGACACCAAACTGAAAAAAGGACAAACTTGGAAGGTTTTAATTTATCTACGGTAAGATAAACCAAAGTAGACCTACGAAGCGCCGAAACTGGGTGAATCTTACACTCACGCGACTCGCGTAACCCGATTCGGGAGCAAGAGTGACAACCTTTCCGACCTATGAGACGTGAGCGAAGTGACCTGAGACGTTGGCGAAACGACCTAAGACGTCAGCAAACCAACTGGTCGTTAGCAGACCGTCTCGTAGGCGAAACGAACAAAATTCAGTGATTGAGTTTAAAATCAGCCTACAGCTAATCACCTGATCATTATCATTTCTAGAAATTTAACGAAGAGCTGCTCCGATGGTTTTCGCTCGGAAAACTCATTTGAATTACAAATAATTTTGAAGCATTAATATTCATATTTGAGATCAGTCTTGCACGTGGAAAGACGATATGAGCTACAAGAAATATCACCGTCTTTTTCAGCTTCTCTGGAGCCAGGATATATTTCATTTCAATCCAAATACCTTAGATATTGTCCGTTCTGTTAGGGTGGGAGAGTGTTTCTTCGAGGTCGCCGAAGCGAGAGGTTTGAATTGGACGACGAAGATGCCGGGACGGATGGATGTCATTATGCCACGACTCTTTCAAGGTAAATGACCTGCGTATATACACATTTTGGTTAGAAATATAGTATTCGCGTCATTCGTAATCGCTGTAGTAAAATTAATTCTTATAGCAAACTTAAAAAGGAAGAGCATGTCACACATTTCAGTGTAAGACAAATCTTCTGTAGTTGTACCAGCCGCCATGACAGTTCTTGATGAACCACGTGACTTTTAGGATAACAGCGAGAAATGTGTACTTTACTGATAATGTATTGACCGCTTAAATACCCATTTATCTTTAATTCTTTACTTATTACTATTCTGTACCCAGTTTCTCTCACATTAGTATTTTAACGTTAAATCTGTTTAAACGCGTCTGTTATTTACATTTCTTCTAACCTCCGCCAGAAAAGAGAGAAAGTCGAGTGGTCTAAAATTTTTGGTTTAGAATTTGTTTTCTGAATCAATCATTCAATTTATTTGCATCATGACGAGGAATGAGGTTTTCATTACATCCGCGCCGGATGACAACACCAGCATGAATATCAGATCTTGTGATCTTAGTTGAAGATACTTGATTCTCACATTGGCTTTCTCCTCACTTCACCCGCGAGTATCAATTGTTTCAAGTGACTTGACAGAGATACCTGATAAAATACTTGGGGGTGGTATATTATGAACCAATATCCCAAATAAAGATGTTCAACATTCATTTATCTGACTGTATTAAACTGGCAGTTTTTATGGGCTCTATTAGGACGAGTTTTCCTTAAAAAAGTGTCTTCCTTCATTTGACATCCATTGTCAATATCAGATAAGGGGCTCAAACAATGCCTTTTACTTGAAGAGAGCACTTACCATAAGATGGGTGTGGGTTTATTCTTATGATATTTCTTGTTAGGACAGCTTCATAAGATGAAAAAATCTTGCAATCGAGTACTTTAAGGGAGGAAGAAGAAAAGAATGACATCCAGCAATAAGGTTAGCTATTTAGTTTTGTACCGATTTAGCTCAGCCAGGTTTGTAACATCTAAGCCTGGCCGTAACCAAGTTTTTGTAATCTGAAGTCAACCGAAGTCAAAAATTTCAAAACCTTCAATCAAAACAGTATAATCATTTCTTCGATCTGTGAATTCCTCCAACTCTGACAGCTCTATCGTTTTGATGAGGTAATGCTACCTCTATTACCTCTATCTCGGTTCTCAATGGTATCAGAGAAACACTTAGGGCCGGCCGGTTATTCAAACATAGTTTAGCAAAAACTGCATCCTAAAAAATCCTCGATTTAGCTGGACCTTTTATCTGAACACTTCTCTTTGTGAACAATGTCAAGAAGGCTAAAAGCTGTTAAAAGACAAAATTGGCATCTAGCAACAATTTTCATTAAACATGTTTTTAAACTTATTAAAGTGTTGGGAAAATGAATGGAAATAATATATTACTATAAGCCATCCAGTTAAAAGTTGTGATAAGCATGTTGATCATTTCGTATTCCTTTTGGTCGTGAGTCGACATGGAGACAGATATGTCTACGTAAATTGCGGTTTGTTTTTGAATATTGGAGTGGTTCTCGCGAAAAGCTGTTTCCATTGCGAAGAAAATAACTTAACCTGATCCCGTTCAGGAATTTCCTGGAAATTAACCTTCTTGTATTTTCAACCCCTTTGATATTCTCGTTTTTAGGATAACTCCATGTCCAATTCCCGATGAGGAAAATATTTCTTAAATTTTAATTTGGTGCGATCAACACCTCTGCACTGAATTTACACTGAATTTACACTGATTTAGGTAACTAACCCACGAACAGGACTTAGCTCTCTTAGACGTGGTACCTTGGGGTACACCCTTTCTTCTCCGAATTTTCTGTTTAGTCTGTTGTTATGTAACATTCTTCGAAGGCTTGTTATGTAACAGTCTTCGAAGGCTATCTCATCTGTAGTTATCTCTCTTAGTATAATTTTATTTCTTTTAATTGGTAATTTTTCCCGACCTTGACCATAAGAGTAAGAAATACATCCTTAGTATGCATGAACTGTTTCACGTAACTTAACGTGATTCACTAAGTGAGAAATGATGACGAAGCATGAAGATTGACAGCTTTGTAAGTCTCTCCCTTATAAGCCGGTCAGCACCATTCTCACTCAGATTAGAGGCTGAAATAGTTCCCAAGGTAGAACTGAGGTCGTGTAAGAAAGAATAATACAGAGGAATCAACCTTACAAAAGTGTTAGAAAACTCTTCTAACAAAGCTATCGGTAGAAAGACATTTATTTAATCAAATCACCCCTTTTATTAAGATAACCTGAGCCCCACTGATTGGCATGCGTAGAACCGTGGTTTGTGTTAGACCTCGTGTAAATAACGGGCCCTTACTGTCTCACTAGATTACCATAGCAACGATATAGCCTGCCAAACACCTATCTAAAGCGTGATGGCTCTAGCGAGTCTTGCGATCCCAAGATTGATCCTCATTATTCATGCACAATAAAAAGTCCTTACCCTAATATAACTATCCACGTTTTCACGGTATAAATTTCACTCATCTCTTTTATCGGCACAGCGTCAGGCGTAGGATGAAGTTATCAATCAATCAAGAAATTCAAGAAAAGGAAAACAAGAAAACTTCCAAATCGGTGAGTTATTCTGTTTGCTTTTTTTTTTTTAATTAGCTATCTGCGCTTGTCAGTCTGGCCTGCTGGTCTGTAATGAAAGCTTGAACAACCTGGGTTTATCGAATGTACACACGCACATACTTGTCTGAAACGAATGTCTGAAATTCAAAACTAGTCAGACTTAAAAATTTAGGAAAACTTCAAACAAAAAATGAATTGTTTTTCTTTATTGTTTCATTTCTGGTGAATCTCTCTTTGATCAAGGTGATTTTCAGTCGTTTTCAGCTCAGCCACGTTGCAAGTTCAGTTGATTGTAAAACAGTGGAGTTATAGAAAATATCTCATTTTTGTTGTGCAACTGATCGCCATGCTTTAAGCCTAATATTATTTTCAAATTAAGGTGATTCCCTTGTTTTGCACTGCACAACCTTTTCTGCGCATAACATTGCGACATCCAAGATGGCGGCCGTTCTTCCCGCTAGCTTGAAAAAAGAACAGACAAGGGCCGCTTTTGAAGAGCGAAAGCTTTTATTCGTAATAAGAACGCCGCAAATCGGCTGACAGCTTCCTGGTCTGCTCTCGAAAAACAAGAAAATTTAAAAAATGTGCGATCTCAAAACCACGTCCACCTTTCACTGCAGTTTGCGAGGAAACAAGCACGGTGACACCCGATTTTTTTTTCATGTATGTGCTGAGAACAGTCTAGTAAAGAACGTATTTGAAGAAGAAAAAAAGTTTGATAGTAGAAAACGATTTTTTTTGGAAAATAGCTCCGTACTTGGTGAATTTTGGCCAAGGCGAGGACTTCAAGCTAACCACGGAACTGTCCGAAAAAGTGCAAAATCCCCACAACCAGGCCATCAAAAACAGCTAAAATGAAGCAATACTGCTTATTTTAATAAAAGAAACTTTAATTTCAAAATAAAATTTTGTGTCTTTCAAGTTACCAAGGCTAAATTGTGTATGAAGGTGATTCGAATTTTTGAACGCGTAACCAGTAAAAATACCCCATTTTAAGAGCCTGCCTACGCCTAAACAAGCACAGTGACCCCAATTTTTTATTGCATTTTTTTAATGTTAATTGCACCAAGTTTCGAAAAAAGTTTGATAGTAGAACAATTTCAAGGGTCTTAAATGTCTTAACCCTTAATGCTAAAACCAAATTCAATGTTTTTATTTTTTTAAGTCGATGCAAACATTTTGCTAGTTTGTAAACATTTTGCTAGGATTATTCATTAGATCGCTGAAACGTTTGATGTTCGTATGATTTTCCTATCAAAGTTAAACCTTCGAGCATATTCGTCTAATATCTTGAAACTAAAATCAAATTCATGCTCTAACAAATGTCTTTCCTCAAACGAATAAAGGCTGATAGTTTCGAAAAAAACTGTTTGGGGCTGCGTCGGTGGGGGTTACGAAATAATT